AGAGGAAGCCCTACATCTGGGACCTGGGGAGGGTGGGAAATGGGGTGGGTCTTCTCCCTTGATACCCCCCTTTAAACATGAAGGTAACAACATGGAAAACATAGTAGTATTATCCACTTTCCTGTAGCCCTTGAACCTTCTTACCCTAATTAACTATGTAAAGATTGTCAAAATAAAAAAAATTATATATATATATATATATATAAAACAGAAGCCTGCAGGAGGAGAATCAGATGGCTGAATAGGGTAAGGATATGTTTAAACTGATGGAGAAACATCTAATCACGATGAAGCAGAGAGGACACATTCCAGGAAATAGGAGAGGACAGAACAACGGCTGAGGGGTACCTGGAGATGGACAGACATAGGAAAGCAGCAGAAATAATGGTGTGGTGTGGCAGTGACTGACTATACAGCAAAACTCAGCCAAGGGCAATCTGAACTCCATCAGCAGCGGAACTCCCCAGCAACCAAGTAGGAAGGGACTTTCACTGGGAGCTTGGGAGGTGAACAGAAACAAAGAACTGTCCATCCTACTGGTCTGTTTGATTTCACCAGGAGCAGAGACAGAGCAGCAGGTCCCAGACAGGCAGTGCAAGAAAAGGGTGTATTTCACAGCCCAGTTAGCCCCCTTAAGCCAAATTGGGTTCCATTTTGTGTAAGGAAGCAAAGGCAAGAAAAAGGACAGAGCATGTACCGAGCTGGAAGGAACTAATTTCTGACTCAGTGAACTTCAGCAAGACAGAAATGGGTAGCCCTCAGACCTGATGACCAGCAGATGAAGAACTCTAGTAGTGGCATTTTATATATTGTGGTAAAAGCTTAGGACTGCAGGGGACAACAGTGAACTGTGCATGTGATGAGCTCGCAAGAATTCACTGAGTTCAGCAAATTACACTAGTCCCAAAGAGAAAATAATACCGACTGTGGCATCATATGGGTCAAAATAGGTCCGTGTGGTACCCAGACCTAATGTCCAACGTGTTCCAGCAAGATCACCACCACCAACATCCTAGCAATTTAGGACACCTTGTGTCTCTCTAATCCTAGCACCTGCTCCAACCAGAAGTGGGAGAAAGATTGCAGAGACAACAGTGCAAACCCAGCATGGTATCATAAGAGGTGGAGAGTGGTGGGCAAGAAGATGGAGCTACAGAGATCATGGTGGAAATCTAACATAAGAACCCAGACCTGGAATTTGCTAGAGGGAGTGGCACAATTGGCTACAAGCAAAGAGCCGTGTACCAACTGCAATAAGTAAAATTGAACTGTAGACCTCTGGGTGACACAGCTTAGAAACCTGTCCCAAGGAGAAAAATCTGATAACCAGAAGTATAATAATCAAGAGCAAAAGAAGAGACAGAGGCACAATGAATACTACTGAAAACTCCCCTGCAAAGGAGTAAAATCATAAGCCAACATCAGAGTTAACTGAGGAAGACATCAAGAAAATGGTGGATACAGAATCCATAAGACTCATTTTAAAGCTTCTGATCAACTATGAGAAGCACATAGAAGAGTTCAAAGAACTTAAGGAAATTGTTACACAAGCAATAGCAGCAATAAAGCAAATCAAGACTGATATAGAACACAGTAGAGCAAATTAAAAGTACAGTGGAGAGTCTCCAAAATAGAATGAAACAAGCAGAAGAAAAAATCTCAAAATTGGAAGGTATTTCCTGTCACCAGGGGAAACAAACAAAAAGCTGGAAGCAGAGCTGGATCAGGCCAAAAAAAGTATTCAAGAATTGAAAGACACTATTAAGAGGCCAAATCTAAGAGTTATGGGAGTCCCAGAAGATGCAGAAAGAGAAGCTGAGTTTTAAAATGTATTTAATGAAATAATAGGAGAAACTGTCTCTAATCTAGAGAAAGAATTGGGCTGGGAAACAACATCCAGGAAGGGCACAGAATTCCCAACAGGGTTGATCAAAAACAATTTTCACCAAGACACATGATCGTCAAGCTCTCTTCAATTGAAAATAAGGAAAAGATCCTTAAATGTGCATGTGAAAAAAATAAATTGACATATAAAGCAATCCCAATTAAACTCACAGAAGATATGTCACAGGAAACACTACAGGCAAGAAGAGAATGCAGTGACATATTCCAGATTCTAAAAGACAAATATATCAGACCAGAATAATATACTCAGCAAAGCTTTCTTTTGATTTGAAAATGAAAATGAAATTCTTCCACACTAAAGAAAAGTTAAAAGAATTTGCTTCTTTCAAACCTGCCCTTCAAATGATACTTCAAGATGTTCTCTTTACACAGAGGAGGAATAGCACCCAACAAAAACAATGGCAAATGTGAAGAACATCCCACTACGATGACGATAGAAAACTAAGCCAATGAATAACCCATTCCGAAAATGACAGGACCAAAGTATCACCCATTCATATTAACCCTGAATGTAAATGGCTTAAACTCAATCAAATGTCATAGATTAATAGATTGGATTAAAAAATGAAACCCATCTATTTGTTGTCAAGAAGAGACATGGTTCACCAACAAAAATCAGCAGAAACTATATACCATGGATTTTCATTTTTTTTTTGTTAGTTTCATCTCTTCAAAACACTTTCTTCTGATTGAATTATTCAATGACTCATAGATCATAGAGTAGCATCATTTTCTTCAAGAAGGTTCTTGATTTTCTTTTTTTCTTCAGTGACACGTCAGTCATTCAGTAGCATGTTATTTAACTTCATCATTTTAATTTCTTTTTTCTTCCTATTGTTTTTGCTTTGTAGCTTTTCATTTAAAGGGATGTATAGTAGCTGTGTAATGGAGACTATCATATCTAGTAACATTTTATTTAACTTCATGGCATTATAAATTTTAATTTTTCTTCATTTTTTTTATTTTATATTGTGACTTATCACTATAAAGGGATGCATAATAACTGTGATATGGAGACCAACATATTCAGATGTGAGGATACAATGTAGTATGCATGTCTACTTTCAGACAAAGATGGACTTCCAATGAAACTGTGTACTATATCTTTACATTAGGATGATGAACTCACTGCCATTGTCCATGCCCACAATGATGAACATATGACTGTTTATGAAGAACTATATTTTAGTAATGATATAAAGGAACTAGGTGGATGGGGGGGAAATTGGGGAGGGGTTAAGGAAAATCTCAGAAGCATATAGAAGTGTATCATAAAATGATAATAATAGCTAGAACCATCCTGAAGAATAAGAAGTTAGCAGGGGGAATCACAATCCCGGACCTCTGGACATACTATAGAGCAGTGGTTATCAAAACAGCCTGGTACTGGCACAAAGACAGGAAGGAAGATCAATGGAATAGAATAGAAGCACCAAAAGGGAACCCACACAAATACAGCCAATTAATCTTTGACAAAAAGACCAATGACAGTCCAAGCAAGTGGGAAGGCCTCTTTAGTAAATGTTGTTGGGACAACTGGCTGATTGCCTGTAGAAACAAAAAGATAGACCCACATCTATCACCATACACTAAGATCCAATCTACATGGATAAATGACCTAAACCTACATCCAGAAACCTCCAAAACTCTTGAAAGAAAATGTAGGAAATACCCTGCAAGACCTAGGAGTAGGTCCTGACTTTCTAAGAAGGACACCAAAAGCAATAGCAGTTGAGAACAGAATAAACAAATGGGACCTCATCAAACTAAGAAGCTTCTGTACAGCAAGGGAAACAATCAACAAAGTAAAAAAGCAACCCACAGAGTGGGAGAAGATCTTTGCACACTACATAGGCGATAGGGGGCTAATTTCCAGGATATACAAAGAACTTCAAAACAACCAAAAAACCAAAACAAACAAGCCACTCAAGAAATGGGCACGGGAAATGGGCAAACATTTCACAAAGGAACAAGTCCAAATGGCAAACAAACATATGAAGAAATTCTCCAGTTCCCTGGCAATAAGGGAAATCCAAATTAAAACATCGATGAGGTACCACCTAACACCAGTAAGATTGGCCCACATAAACAAGAACACCAATGACACTTGTTGGCGAGGATGCAGGGAAAAGGGAACCCTACTCCACTGCTGGTGGAGCTGCAAATTGGTACAGCTTTTATGGAAATCAGTCTGGAGAACACTCAAGCAACTCAAAATCTGCATACCATATGACCCAGCAATAGTACTCCTAGGAATATATCCAAAACACCTGTTTCACGACAAACCAACATGCATCCCTATGTTCATAGCAGCACAATCAGTAATTGCAAACACATGGAAGCAACCAAAATGCCCATCAGCAGAAGATTGGATAAGAAAGCTTTGGTTCATCTACTCCATGGAATACTACTCAGCTATTAAAAAAAACAAAATGCAGTTCTTTGTGGCTAAATGGGCACAACTGGAAACTATAATGCTAAGGGAAATGAGTGAATCCCAAAAGGTTAGATACCATATGTTTGCCTTGATTTAACGTGTAATTTTTGTTTGGTTGTTTGTTATTTTTTGAATCTGTCATTGATACTGTCTCAACCCAGGTGTTTTGAAGAATGGAACTTGTATTATTTTTAACATATTGTTTACCCAATACTATGTCAATTAATTCCATAATGTTGTATATTGATACTGAGGTTTTGTAGGGGCTTTTAACTGACCGGAACTTTACTCTGTTAGCTCTACCTTCAGACCAGTGAAGGTCTCCCCAAGAGGCCACTGAACTTATCTGGACAATAAGACGCTGGACTTTATGCTAGATATGTGCTTGCAAGGAAGGAATCTCAACTGAACTTGAACTGTGGTTATGCAGCAAGGTGGAGGAATCCACTATGGGGGGAGGGGTATGGGAGGGGTGGGGGGAATCCCCAGTGCCTATAAAACTGTATCACATAATACAAGGTTAATAACAATAAAAAAATAATAAAATTTTAAAAAAAGAAGCCTACAGGAGCCATGGAGAACAAAACCACAGGAATGAAGTAACAGCTTGCACATCTCCACTGAACCTCTGTCAGCAAAGGGGAGCCCCAGTGCCTACCTGGTGATGCTTGGCAGCTTCTTTTATCCGGCTGTATTTATGGGATTTGTGGACCTTAGAATTACAACAAACCACACAGAGGAATTCACCATCTTCCTCACAGAAGTAGTACAGCTTCTTCCCATGTTTTGGACATCTCAGCTGTTCCTCTTCTTGCTGCATCCCAGAGAGATACACAGCTTGAATTCTCTCTATCAGATTCCCCAACAGCAAGTTTGGAACAAATGTGTCCTTTATCATATAACTGCAGAGGGGACATTTGAAGAGATCCCTGGAAGCTTCCTTAAACTGAGTGATGCAACCATGGCAAAAATTGTGCCCACAGTCAGTGGTGACAGGGTCCTGCAGAATCTCCAGGCAGATGGGACAGGTCACCTCCTGCTGAAGGTTGGTGGAAAAATGTTGGCTGGTCATGTCAGAGCATCCAGGCTGACCCACATCTGCAGAAATCCTGGAAGTTGGCAGTGGATACCATTGCCAGAAGAGAGAAGGGAAGAGAGCAGGTAGAAGTCAAAGAGTGTGTCAATCAATCATGGGAGCAAGGTGGGAGGAAAAGAAGAGGGAGGACAAACTGATCCAAAGGAGTGAAGTTTTCTATCCAATGAGCATTCTGGAGCGAGGAATCAGAAGGACAATCCTCTTCATTCACCACTTGGGAACAAATGGCTACTGAGAAAATATATTTGCTGATTATTCATATGGTATGTTGTTTTGAACCTTAGACTGGTTGTGTATAAGACAGGTGACTGGATCAGAAAGGGCAAGGTGCAAAAGCCCAGTCATAAAAGACTTCCTAGCAGCATTAGGAAGGGAATGGAAGGCCTGGCAGGCATCTTTGGTGAGGTCATAGGCAGGTGGAGTAAAGTACAGAAGAGGAGAGAAGAGAGATAAAGACAGAGAGAGAGAGGTGGGGAGAAAGAGAGGGGGAGAGAGAGAGAGGGAGAGAGAGAGAGAGAGAGAATATGAGATCACAGCACTTGCCATAGGGAAAGAGAGAAATTAGATCTACTGTAAGGTAATGTGGCTCCTCATTTTTAAGAATATTGTGAAAATTTGGAATATATAATCATTGTCTCAAAACATTTAGTCTCTTCAGGGATTCCAGTCAAGTGGAAGAAACAAGAAACTTCCTTTCTGTTTTTGTTTCATTATTTATTTTCTTTGTTTAATATTTATTTTCTTTAACTTCTTTGAGACAGGTATAGAGAGAGGGACTAAGAGAGAGGGAGATCTTCTTCCAGCTGCTAGTTCACCCCCCATAAGACCACAATTGCCAGCACTGAGCCAGTTTAAAGCCAGCAGCCAGGAGTTTCCTCTGGGTCTCCCACATAGGTGCACAGGCAGTTGGGCCATCCTCCACCACACTCCCAGCAGGAAGCTGTATTGGGAAGTGTAGCATCCAGGACACAAACTTGTGTCCACATGAAATGCTAGTGCTGCCAACTTGTCACTCCACCACACTGACCCAAGGAACTTTCTTTCTGCAGATCATTCTCTTTTTCACATTGTTCTTAATTTTGGTGGAGCTCTTCCTGATGCACGCCAGTGACAGTTGTCTGTCTTCTGTGAAACTCCCCTTGTATGCCTTCAACTCTTTGCTTTGTGTGTTATGACTCTTCTGTGTTTCTTCCTTTTTCATGGTGACTCTAATTCCTGACTTGTTTTCCCCTGTAGATGAAAAACAAGCAGTACACTGATCATTTCTATCTGATGCTTATCCTAGGTCAAAAAGGTGTGGTGAATGATTTTATGATCATAGATGGGCCATATATTCCACCTGGCTTTCCTTCTTTTTCCTGGTTTAATTATTAGCACTATCCCCGTCCTTCTCAAAGTGCACCTTTTGGATGATAAATTACATGACTATTCTAATCCTAGCAGCTGTTGGAAGCCAAGGCTTTTGGAAATGTTTTGCTTCCAAGTCTCTGATTGCTTTAAAGCTGAATTAAAGCAATGGTTTTTAACCTATACTCACCCTAAACTGCTGGTTCCCCAAGACAGAATTTACATTCTTTGATTGGCATAACAATATAAAAAATGGAAATTTGAATGTCTTTAGTAGGGTGCCTTCCTTCTCACCACACTATTACCTTGGCTCTCCTTGTCTTGGCAGACATCTCCTTGTCTATGACCCTGATTTATAGATTTTTTTTTTTTAGTCTCTTCTGTGAGAAATTATCTCTACCCATCCTCATAGAAACTGAGGATGTGTCAGATGGCCTGAAAGCCTTGTTAAAGCTCAGATTGGCTGAGCCTCAGAGCCATGTAATTACATATGAATTACATATACAAATGTATGTATATATACACACATATAACTTTTATGTATATACAAGATTTATTTATTTTTATTGGAAATTCAGATTTACAGAGAGGAGGAGAGAGAGAGAGGAAGATCTATTGTCCAATAATTCACCCCTCAAGTGGCTACAATGGTCAGAGCTGAACTGATCCTATGCCAGGAGCTTCTTCCAGGTCTCCCATGCAGGTTCAGGTTTCCAAGGTTTCAGGCCATCCTCTATGGTTTTCCTGGGGTACAGACAGGGAGCTGGAGCAGCCAGCATTAGAACTGGTGCCTATATGGGATCCTGGCTTGTGAAAAACCATGACTTTAGCCAGTAGACTACTAGGTCCTCTTACTTTAATTTCAGTTTTTCAGCAGAAAGGCAGAGAGAGAGAGAGAGAGAGAGAAGTCAGGTTGTATCCAAGAACCAAGATCTCAGACAGGTCTCCCTCATGGGTGACAGGACCCAGATTACTTGAGCATCACTTGCTCTCTTCCAGGTGTGCACATGAACAGACAGGTGCATTAGAAGTGGAAGGGCTGGGACTACAAGTAGGGTGTCCTACATAGGTGCATTCATCACCAGAAGTGACTTTAAAACTGTCCAATAGACCCACTGCTGCAGGCACTTTACAAACAGCTTGACTTGATTAGAAGCGCAGGGAGGATTGTGTCAGGAACCTTGCCTTCACAGACTTCTGGTGCCAGAGACCATGATCAGAGCTTATGTGTGATTATCTATAGTTGGACAACAGTCCAAAGCCACTGAACTGTGTGCTTAAGAATATCCTTAAGGGCTGGGGGAGCACAGGTGCATCTGAGCTGAAGGTGCTGGTCCTCGACCCTCCTTGCCATGTGACTATGGTTGGGGAAATCCTGGCCAGGCTAGGTGGGATACTAGCTCTGGCCACCACTACCAGGTGGTGACAAATCCTAAACTTGTCTAGGCCCAAGGCCCAAGAAGCTTCTCTGTATACAGTAATCACACTGTGTGTGGATTTCAGGCAGCTATGGGCAGGCGCAGGACCCTGGTTCTGCATGTCAATGCCATCTTGGTCAGTGGATCTGAGCTGGAGGCACAGCTGCTTGACCTCCAAGTCACATGGAACCAGCTAGCATGTCAAAATAGGGAACAGGTTCTGAGAGGCTGGGCTATGAAGTCAACAAATACATGAAAGAATCAGATCTTGGGGTAGAAACTACAGGGGAATATGTGGGCTCACCCATGTGAAACAGCAATTTGCATTGGCATGCACAATAACTTTGGCTGGGAATAGGCCCAGCTGGAGATCTTAAAGGAATACTCTGGCTGGGCTGAAATTCCCTCTAGTGAATGTGAGAGCCAGAATCGGTGCATTCTCCTGAGCTGAACATGGCTCCAATCTCTGTCAGCACAGGTGTGGCCTAGGTGCAGGGCCCAGTCTCTCAAGGGTTGACTCCACAGCTTCACTTGTTTCTCAAGAGGTAACAGAATGTGCAATCTTGGCCCAACTTAACTGCAAGTCTCTGCTTCCTGTTTGTCAAGTTATGTCCCCGGGGCATTTTAGGAGCTACTTGAGCATTGGAAAAATACTGAGAGGAGCCAGGCAGAGTATAAAAGACAGCCTGGAGTTTCAATAAATGGCATTCCCCTTACACAAATAACCCAGTGTGTGTTGTCTTCTTTTCAACCCTAGTCACTCTGCTTGGCTGAGGATACACAGTGACATAGGTGTTGCTGACACTCAGATCTAGGGTGGGCTGGGCTAGGCTAGACTCCAACACCCTCTGAGTCAGGGTAGGTGTAGAATGGGCTGGGCTAGATCCCAGGGCCCACTGAATCATGTGAGAGTTGTGTCTGGGTATGGACCAGGTACGGCTGGGCTGCAACACCCAACAGTAAGAACTGGAATGGGTATGGGCTGATTGGGGAAGGACATCATTCCTGCCAGGACAAGAGGTAGACAAAGTCAACCTGGGTCAGGGACCTGCCAATATATGCAAGATCTGCCACTGGGAGGAGCCTGGATTGAAGAGCTTGGTGAACTCCTTTGTCAAGTTGCAGTACCTGCAGGTAAGTGCAAGAACCAGGGCAAGGAGCAGCCCAAAACAGACCAGATTACAGTTTTAGGTCCAAAAGATCCCCGAACCACAGACAGACAGGTTCCACATTCAACCATGTGAAAGCAAAGACACTTTATTGCTAGTTCGAGCTAAGGTCCATGTCTCATCCATCGCAGTGGAGTCTTGACAAGGACCCCTCTTGTCTCTTGCAGACTGTTTTTATTCCCTCCTAATCATGTACAACACATCTCCAGCAAGCAGTCCTTATCTTGGTCGCGTATAACTCGTACCAGCATAGGCCACAGGAATGCAGACGTGTGGATGCCCCTGATTCTCCCTGCCCACTCCATCACTCTGAGGAAAATCAAACTTTGAAGTGAAGTGAAACTTAGGCCTACTCCCCAACCTTAGGTCCATCATGGCGTTGGTCCTGTTCTTTATGCAGAAAAGCCAAGCAGCAATTACAGAAGCCAAATATAGCAGTTATGCTAACAGTTAAGACACTGCCTTATCACTACTGTTGTTAAGAGTAAATCCCTGCCACCCAGGCTTGTACCCCAACTCCAAAACACTATCTGTTGGTATACATATAGGTCAGGTCAGAGTGTGGACCAGGCCGGGCCAGTTCATAATATGTACTGGTAGATCCGAGAACCAGGAAGGGCTGCAAGAGGGACTGAGTTAGGCTGAATCACCAGCTTGTTCACATTCAAGCCAGGACAGAGGGCTATGGGCAAGGTTAGGGTCCAGCACCAACCAGCACAACCTGGAACTGAGGGCAGGTTAGACTTGAACTAGGTTGAAGCAGCCACTAGTGGATGCTGAGGAAAGATGA